TTACAATTACTTTCGCAATGGACTAGTGTTGTAACAGAATTGTATAGTTGGAAGCTACTGCATCCTACTGACCATCATATGAATAAAGAATGTCCGCAGGAGGCTGAAGAATATGAAAGAGTATGATTATCATTCTATTAATGTTTTTTTAGTATTTTACACCATTGTCATGTTTATTGATTAAAAAAATTATTTTATTAATACCATTCTTCTTATACAGGCTACACGATATAATTATTCTGATGAAGAGAAATTTGCTCTTATAGAAGTTATAGCAATGATTAAGGGATTGCAAGTATTAATGGCACGAATAGAGACTGTTTTTATTGACGCAATACGTAGGAATATATATGCTGAGTTGCAAGATTTTGTACAGCTTGCATTGCGTGAACCTTTAAGGAAAGCTATCAAAAATAAAAAGGATTTGATTCGAAGGTTAGAACATAAACTATTTAAATATGATATAAAAATTTTAGATTTCTTTTTCATGTATAATATGTAATACAAGTATATAATATACATTATATGTATGTGTAAATAAAGTTTATAGAAATTGTTTAATAATTAAAATAAAATTAAAAAGTAATTTCATACGTTCTTTTATCTTTTTGTTTCAGTATAATTGTTTCCGTTAGAGAAACTTGTGCGGATTGGCATTTCGGAGTAGAACCACTCGGAGATCCCGCTTTAAAAGGCAAAAAAGATCCAGACAATGGATTTGGCATTAAAGTTCCGCGAAGAAACGTTGGTCAGTCTTCCATATTAATACGTTGCATATATATTTATTACTTGTATGTCGTTATTGATTTTGGAAACTCATTACGAATGAAATGAAATAGGACCATCTTCCACACAATTGTATATGGTGCGAACCATGTTGGAATCGTTAATAGCCGACAAAAGCGGTGGGAAACGCACTCTGAGGAAAGATATTGATGGCCAATACCTTGTTCAAATTGATCAGTTTCATAAAACTAGTTTTTATTGGAGTTATCTTTTAAATTTCAGTGGTAAGTAAATGAATATTATTTTCAAATACAATTATTTTTTTATTTTGAAAATTTCTTCTTCCATAGAATCTCTACAAAATTGTTGTGACTTGTCGCAATTATGGTACAGAGAATTTTATCTGGAAATGACAATGGGTAGGAAAATACAGGTAAATAATGTTAATTTTTTAATTTTAATTTTAAATACTCTCAGTAATTCTCCGTATAATTTGTCGATTAAAAAAATGAATATATGAACAATCATATCCATTTAATTTGAGCCGTGAGCGTATAAAAATCTTAATATTCACTGATTGATGGATATAAATTTTGGGATTTGTTTTCTCCTTGCATATTGAAGTTATTATGAGCTATCATGAAGCTATGATTATGAAAATAGTCGTTTCTGTAATTTATTTCATGATTAGAAATGCCAAGTACGTCACCAGCATAACGAGGAGTGCAGCGACCTAATCACCATGGAGAAACGTATTCAGGTATTTTCCGTTTGCTGTGCGTACGATAGATAATCAATATCACATCCAAAACATGCCGAAAACTGTAAAGTTGAAAGCTCAGTGTTATTTCACGCCTACCTCGTTGTAAAAGATGCCACATAGAAATACCATTTATTATATTTTCCATATGTTTAATCGATAAAATGTTTCAGTTTCCCATTGAAATGTCTATGCCATGGATATTGACTGATCATATATTAAGAAGCAAGGAACCGTCAATGATGGAGTAAGTTTTTATGTAAATAAAATGATTGTTAATATGTATATATAATAATAATGCTTCTTATAAATTAGAATGCACACATACAAGTTTATGTTCTATAGTATTATATAATCATTCTATGATATATCATTGCTATTATTAATTTACAGGTATGTTTTGTATCCACTGGATTTATATAACGACAGCGCCTTATATGCACTGACGATATTTCGCAAACAATTTTTGTACGATGAAGTGGAAGCCGAAGTGAATCTATGCTTCGATCAATTTGTTTACAAACTTAGTGAACAGATTTTCGCTCATTATAAACAACTGGCAGCCAGTATTCTGTTGGACAAACGATTCAGAGTAGAATGTGTCGCTCTTGGAGCATATTTACTTCCATATCCACGTGCAAATAGATACGAAACGTTGTTAAAACAGAGGCATGTTCAGCTATTGGGAAGAAGTATCGATTTAAATAAACTTATAACACAACGCATTAATGCGGACATGCAAAAATCATTAGATTTGGCCATTAGCAAATTTGAATCCGGCGATATAACTGGAGTCGTGGTAAGCACGCGTGTTTACAATATTTGCGCTAAACAAGCATCTTCGAATTAATCGATAACTGATCCGGCAGGAGCTAGACGGATTGTTGCAAGTCAATCGCCTTACACATAAGCTTCTGAGTAAGTGGCTCGCGTTAGATGAATATGATGCTATGTTCAGAGAAGCGAATCACAATGTTCTAGCCCCATACGGAAGAATTACTCTTCATGTATTCTGGGAATTGAATTACGACTTTTTACCAAATTATTGTTACAACGCCGCCACAAATAGGTATACATAATGTTGCATTAAGTACATTCTGGATTATTGATTTGATATTACTAATATGTGTTATTTGGCAGATTTGTCAAGTGTCGCGGTCTACAATTTGTACAACCCGTTCATAGAGATAAACCGCCTCAAATGTCGCATCATTATCTCTGGGGTAGTAAGCAGTTAAATCTGGCTTATAGCACTCAATACGGACAATATACGGGATTCGTCGGTCCGCACCATTTTCGAACAATATGTAAGCTTCTTGGATATCAAGGAATAGCTGTAGTTATGGAAGAACTTTTGAAGATCGTTAAGACCTTGATTCAAGGAAGCCTGCATCAATTTACAAAGACTTTGATGGAAGCCATGCCTAAAGTCTGCAAGCTTCCACGATATGATTATGGATCTCCCGGAGTTTTAGGCTATTATCACGCTCAGTTGAACGACATTGTGCAATATCCAGATGCTAAGACTGAATTGTTTCATAATTTCCGCGAATTTGGCAATACGATTCTATTTTGTCTCTTAATGGAACAAGCTCTATCGCAAGAAGAAGTGTGCGATTTGTTACACGCAGCGCCGTTTCAGAATATTTTGCCGAGACCTTACTGCAAAGGTAAGGAGCAGTATGTGTTAGCATTATAAGCCAATTCGAATAGAAATGAAAAACAGTTCTGCGTGAAATGTTTATTATTTACGTATGCAATTTTTAGAGGGAGAAAAACCCGAAACGAAACAGAAACGATTAGAAGCGAAGTACGCGGCTTTACAAATTGTTCCAAATGTTGATAAATTAGGTACCGCTAAAGTAAGTATAAATATATAACGTCTCTTCAAAGTATTTGTATTTTTTCGATCTACTCTATGAACGACTTGATTATATTTTTTCGATCTACTCTATGGACGACTTATTCTTTCAGCAAGCGATGATTGCCAGAGAAGGAGATTTATTAACACGCGAACGATTATGCTGCGGTTTGTCGATATTCGAAGTTGTGCTCAGCAGATTACGGAGCTTCTTAGACGATCCTATCTGGGTCGGGCCACCACCAGCAAATGGTGTAATGAATGTAGACGAATGCACGGAATTCCATAGGCTTTGGAGTGCGCTTCAATTTGTATACTGTATTCCCGTCGGTGATACTGAATTTACTGTTGAGTGAGTACAACATTTAATGTAACATAAGTTTTTTTCTTGTCTATCGACAATGTAACAATGATTGTAATTCTTCTCTTTTGCAGAGAATTATTTGGTGAAGGTTTGCATTGGGCTGGTTGCGCTATGATTGTTCTTTTGGGCCAACAACGTAGATTTGAGGCACTTGATTTTTGCTATCACATTCTTCGAGTGCAACGCGTGGATGGCAAAGATGAGAATGTTAAAGGAATAGTAAGTAATACAATATATATAATATATATTAATACAGCAATTTGCTCATTTGCACATTTGAGCTCAAATATGTACGTCATTTATCCTTAAAGCATTTGAAGAGGATGGTGGATCGGATCAGGCGATTTCAAGTATTGAACTCACAGATATTTGCTGTGTTGAATAAATATTTGAAAAGCGGAGACAGCGATGCGGCAAGTGTGGAACACGTACGCTGTTTTCAACCTCCGATACATCCTTCACTAGCTCATGCGCAACAGCATTATCATGCACCTGAATATTTACGCCAAATAAATCATCAGTAAATGATAACCGTAAAATTTATATTTTGCGTCCTGATTGTGTCAAAATGCAATTTGAATAGGACTCAAAGAAATCATTCCTCGCTATTTACGGAGGAACATTTCTAGCTAAAAAGTTTCATATATTTTATATCACACCTGTGTCGAAATATCATTTGCCTATCTATTTAATTCAATTACTATAAATGTTTACAAAAAAAATGTTTTTTACAATTGAGGTAAGATTTATAGAACTTATTTAAGATTTATAGAATTACGAAAAAAAAATGCAAATAATGAATTTGAGAATTTAATCTATTCCTAAAGCACATCAAGATTTTAGTTAATCTATTTAATAATACGTATATATTATATGTGTATACATCTAGACAGACTTATATAATATTACTGCTATATTATAATACTACTGCTTTAATAGTTTATAATAGAACTGATACAATATGATAATATCCTAGATATAAGTATAGCAATCTATCAATGTAATATGTTTGAATTTATATTTTGTAAGATATTCCAAGTTTAATCAAAACAAAGTATTATGTATTAATATTCATATCACATAAATTTATGTAGTGTTCATGTACTGATACCGACTATGTATAAAATGCACACATTTTGTAAAACTACTCGTTTATCTGTTTACTCCGATTTGTTAAACGATATCGGATGAATTATTCCAAAAACGATGCAAGAATTATCAATGATATGCAAGGATTTACGTTTTAATGATTAAATAGAATATATTAAATTATTTTATTATCGTTAACATTACAATTCTGCAAAGAAATCAGATCGATTATGAATTTTACTACTAGGAAGATTATGTTCGAGCCATTTTCGCTTTTCACCCTTTTTGGGTTCAGTAACATTTAGGGACTCAAAATATTGTACATTCCAGAATTTGATATCATTATCATGCGAAGAAGATGCTATTAAAGTCCCGTCATTACTGATATCGAGTGTCTCGACGGAAAAGTTATGTTGTCCAACTATGCCAAGATGATGATGAGGAAACAAACTGGTTGCCCTGTTCATTGTAGGTGATATAATACAAATATATAAATATGATACAATCTTTATATATTATAAACTATCGTATGATTCTGTCTTTATCGCTTACCTAACTATTCCATCTTCTTCACCAGTTATCACTACATTTTCCGTAATGGGAATCATACAATTAATTGCTTTCTTTTTGACACTTGGAAATTCATCCGAATGTAGTCCAAATTCTCCCCAATTATATACATACATTTTCCCTTTATTACTAGCCGTTAATAATTTACTTTCCATTTTAAATAAGCCAAGACAGGTCAGTTCATCGTCGTATTCCTCGGACTGTATGCGACACATGTATAAAATCGACTTAATACTTTGCATATGATTACTAAATCATTTGTATATTTTTATAATACCTGTACATGCAGTTTTCTTTCAGGTATGTTTATAGTTGTCAGACAGTCACCACTAGCACAAGCTAAATACTTGGCGTCTGTATTGGTTATCATTGCACTGATGTAATCTTCTGCCTCCTTTATAGAAAATATCGGCACGCTTCCCTTTTGCCTGAGGTCCCAGACTTGAAATTTTTTTTTTATACATAAGATTTGGTTAATTAAAGTTTTAAAAGAGATATTACTTATCATTACGTTTTACTACACCATCGTCGTCGCCTGTTACAAATACATGCTCGCTGATAATCGTCATTGTGTATACAGGTTGCCTATAATGAGAAAAACGAAAAAAATACATTTAATATTGACATTTTAATATTAATGGATATCATATATGAATATATACATACTCGTGAGCTTTGTCGTACAATCTGACTAGTTGTTCCGTTTCTACATTGGTTATCGCTATACACAGATCTTTTCCAGTTGAGAATAACAACTGTCCATCCTCACTAAACTCAATATCCCGGCAAGCTTTAAGATGCAATTCTATGGTCGATACAAGATTGGTCTCTTCATTGTTATATTTATACCTAAAAAATAGCAAAAAAATAGATATATTTTCATTGAAACTAAAAATGATTTAGATCAAACTCTAACTTATCAATCTATACCTCCACTATTTTGTTAACATGGATAGAATTATTATATAAATTTTTATTGTTTGATTTCAAGGATAAAATTACATAGAATTTTAAGTAATCTATTAATCCTTAATACATATGATGATTTTTTGATCCTTTATTACATACAAAAGTCATTCATGTCCTGGAATAATTTTCATTTCTTTTATAATTAAGCAAAAATTATTAAGAGATTATTAAATATATTTTAACAGTATTTATAAAGTTATGTATTTAAAAGAAAGAATAGAGATTATTTTAGTCAGTGCTCCTAGTATTTCAAAGAAAAGAAATGCATAGTATATGAATGATTCATATCATCATATGTGTATTAAGAATTAATTAAATTAAATTATAATTTTCACAAGTTAAATTATAATTTTCAATCGCTCTAAAATATATTCTAAAATATCAAATTTACATGAAAACATCTCCCGTAATACTGGCTATGCCTATGGTGTCCAATTTAGGATGAAAACATATATCCGTTATCATATCTTCCAATGTAATAGAGGGCGGATGATTCCTATGCAGTTTCTTTGCATGTAATATAGCTTGAACAACTTCATCTGCATCTGAATTAATAGAGTCTTCATCAACATTGTCATTATTTTGCTGGGATGGCCCATCTAGGTGAATTTGAAAGATATTTTCTTTAAAATAAATCATATTTAATTTATTTTATAACAATTATACTTATATATTTTGTATAACATTTTATACAAAAGGAGAATTGAAAAAAAAGGAATACCTGTTGAAATAAATGTCAAGGCTTTTGACTTCATAATAACAGGAATAATATCATCATTGCTATCTGATACAGATTCGTTTGTTGAACTCTCATCATCACTGTTTATATCTTGGTTTGATATCCTATCTATACTCATGTCACTATTATCACTATCAATATCATTGGACATTAAATTATCTGCAAATCAATTATACAGTTATAATATTTAAACATCATAAAAGAAATGTCTATAAATATTGTAATAATTACATTGTAAATATTACTGTAAAATTTTTTCATATAATTTTTCAGAATTTTTATACAAATTAAGTTAAAAATTTTATAATTTTTTAGAAAATTTCTAAAATTTGTTATATAAATTGGAACTTTATAATTATTTTTCAAAAGAAGTCTATATCTTTTCTAGAATTCTTCATATACATATATAAATTTTTAAATATTCTGAGATTACTAAGATTTCTATCCTAGAAGTTCTGATTGAATCTTATAAAATCTGAAAAAGGTTACTTTTTCAGAAATTATAGAATGAAAAAATTAAAAATCTTAGAATATTTTAGAATTCATATATATAAACAATTGTAAAGATGTAGACTTTCTCAGTATTTCTGAAAAGTATTTTAGTACAAAATTTTAGAAAAACTTTTATTGAGATATGTTACTCATCGATTTACCTGTTTTCCAGTACATCCTTAGAAAAAGGAATGTGAAGGAATGTTATAAGGCAATATAAGAATTATCATGCCACACGCGGAACTCGAACTGCTCGGAATGGAATTACGAATGAGGTTATATTCGAGCTATAAGTAATACAAGTGTCAAGTAGAAAAATCAGGAAAGATGCCTAACTATCGTTCATTTGCTTCTTTCTCGACTTGATTCATTGATTGTTGATATGAAAGAATAATTATGAGAATAATGCGATTGACTTGGCAGAGGACAAGATAGACGACGTAATTGTAAATTAATTGTAAATATTACGATTCGCAATTAATTATATTCTTATATATTTCTTAACCTCAAAAGGCGAGTAAAAAGATTGGCGAAGATATTGTTTGCATCACGCGGCTCGCAAGTGAGACATGCGAGATGTATCCCGCGAATCACAAAACTATATTCGTGCTAGATCACACGCCGTATTTTGGCATCTCCACCGAATCCCCGCTGGAATTTGACTTTCTGAAGAGCAGAGGCCAGAACCTAATCCCGCTGGCACCAGTTTGCAAGTCTTTGTGGACCACCAGCGTGGAAGCTTCGTTGGAGTACTGTCGCATTGTGTGGGATCTCTTTCCCATAGGCAAATTGGTATGAAGAAACAGACTATTTCTCAGCTAACATTTTGTGCAAAAGCAAACTGGCTAACAATTATTACTGTCATATTGCCACGATAATAACAGAAATATTGTTGAATGAAACTTTTGCTTAGAGGTCAAAAATTTTTTTTTTTCTGACAACAAATAATAATTGTAATTTAATCGAAATATTGCCATATGATCATATATTTTTTATTAATCATACATTGCCATAAAATTACTATATTCAATTTGTGTTTTTTTTTACTTGTAATATTGCATCAAATGAGAACTCACTTTTGTTGACATTTAATTGCAATAATATTTTAGCAAGTTATCACAAAAATGCTAGCAAAATGTAATCTGAGACTATGTATCTATAGATGCTATCCAATAAGGGACAGAGAATATAATATAACACATTGAATCATTTTAATTTAACAACAAGGCTGTAATTATTCACTGTGTTATACTGTCATCTGTGTCTCTTGTTGAAAAGCATGATAGTTAATTATATATAAGATCTGTCCTTTTTAGCTTTTTAATTTTTCTTCTTTTTCTTTTTCTTTTCATAGTTCATTTTTTTTCTTTTTCTTTTCACGTTGAAAAAGATGAACTTCAGCTAAGTAGAATAGACTTATTTTTTTTATGATAGAACAGACTACATTACAATTTTATAATAGTCTCTAGTGTTAATGTTATCCTTACTGTCATTATTTTTTCAGATTAGATTTGTTGTAACCGACCGTGCAGCTTATGTGCTGAATTCATGGAGTCCACTACAGCAAAATTTAAATCATGCAAGTCCCTTTCAAATTTCTATATTTATGGAGTAATGAATATCTAATTAATGAAATACAAATGTCTATGATTATTGAATGGAATGTATTTCTTTGCTAGCATATGTTTAATCAGAAAAATAATGGAACTGATTTTACTTTTAGATAATGAATGGCACTGCCATTTTAGGAGTGCCAACGAAGACACCAGAACCTGGCGAGGACTATTCGGTGATACACGGTCTGCGCGTAGCAATCGAGACACTGAATGAGTGCTCTGAGATACAACACGAAAAAAGAACTTCTCTAAACGAGAACACCAACAAACTGATAAATCGAGGCAGGGTAATATGCATCACGAGTGCACGTGATAACAGCAACATGAAGAACTTGGAAAATATCTTTTTGAATGAATTAGCACAGGAAAACAAGAATGCGCTATCTTCAGATCAGTTAGTATTTTCTACAACTATTATACATTATCAGAATCATATTAAACTTTGTTCTAATTTACAGTTTGATTCCTGTTGATTATTGTCATTTAGTTATACTGAACATATATCCCAACAATATTGAATCTCAAGTCACTAGTCAAGGTCCTCGAGAGGTAAGCCTTTAATAATTTAATAATTAATTATTTTATGTTCTGTATTTTGTCATTAAAATAATAGAGCATGTTTATTTTTTATAAGATATTTTATAATACATATAATTTTAATTTTGTAATATTATTCATAATATATACAATAATTAAATTTATAATATAATATTTATATTAATCTAAGAATGCTCTATTCCGTTTTTATATTTGTTGTACATATAAAAAGTAAAGTAGATTAAAATTTTTTTACACAGGTATCATCATTTCTTACAGTAGAAATACATTCAATCAAGGCTTCATCACTTCATTCCAAGTTATCTCATCTGATTTTATCTCATTATGATTTGGCCAGCACTACAGTAACAGGTATACCCATGAAAGAGGAGCAGAACGCCAGTTCATCTGCCAATTACGATGTGGAGATATTTCATTCTTCAGCCGCACATACTGCCATTTTGAAAGGTTTTAATTAAAAGAATTTCTTTTCTAAAAATCTTTAAATTCCTTTAGATACCATAAAGTTTCATTGGTTGGTTATAGGTAATCCGCAAGATTCGGCATTGATAAAGACATTCAGGCGTTTTGAAGAAGGATCAGAATACGAGACAGTCACGTTGAAGTGGTGCACGCCGCGCGGCTGTAGCGCGTCAGAGATGCAGAACTGCACGGCAATGTATCGAATCACACCAGTGGACGTCAATAGCCGACCATCATCTTGTTTAATTAATTTTCTATTGAATGGTAGATCGGTAATGCTAGAAATGGCCAGAAAGGCCGGTGGAAAAACTATTTCTCATTTATTAGCAGCGCACGGTGGCGAGATTTTCATTCATACGTTATCTACTGCTCGAAGCGTGCTGGAGGATCCACCTTCCATTAGTGAAGGGTGTGGTGGTCGTGTCACGGATTATAGAATAACCGTAGGATGCTTTTGTAATTACTATGTTTTGTATTAAAGGATTATAAATTTAATTAATTAATCCATTATTATCAATTCCATCGTTATTTTACTATCATATATTAAAAATTAATAAATTAAAAATTCTACATATGTTAATTTTATATTTGATAAATTTATTTTTTATTAGGAGTAAAATGTGACTTGCGATACGACTGTCTTAATTCAATAATATTTTTGTTACAGGATTTTGGCACCCTCATACGAAATAACATATTAGTACCGCTAAAACGTACTTCCACTTCTAGTACTGATGGTCTAGTAGAAAAGATGAGATCGAGATTAGAACGTCATACCAAATATTGGCCCATGACTTTTTCCCGTACTCTCATGTTTAATTTAAAACATGTTTGTATATAAAGAAAATGCTAATAATAATTATATTATAATAGTAGATTTAAATAATATAATTAATAAATCTTAAAATATTCTGATTAAATTTTTTAATTTATCTTAATAATATAGAGATTTTTAATTATTTTACAATTTATGAAAATTCAATATGTTAAAATTTTGAAAATCTCATAATTAAATATTAAATTCTTTAATTCAAGAAAAATTGATATCAGATATTTTTAAATTCTTCGTATAGATAGATCCGCTTCCAGAAATAATGGTGAAGGATGAGCTCACCACGGAAGAAGTGCTCCAGTGCAAACAAATAATTTTTAGCTTGCTCGGGTTAGAGGCAAAACACGAAGCCTTGCCTTTGCCAAACATTGGCGGAAGTCGCGGCGGGAAAGGAGTACGCAGAGAAGAACATTATCGTTTATTATGGGATGAAATAGAAACATTCCTTAAACATCATGCTAACAACTCGGCCGCACATACTGAGGTCCTTAATTGTTTGTTGGAGATCAGAAATAAAGACGAAAAGGATAAAGTAGAACTCGATCAAGCCCTACGGGAATTAGATAGGTAAAAAAAGATTTAAAAAATTGAATTTGATGTGTAAATTACAATTTATTTCTTATCTAACTAAATTGAAATTTTTGAATTATTACAATAGTTGCACTTTTATATTCTTCCGTATTTTTAATTTGGTGCTGCTTCTTAATTCTAATCTGGAGTTTATTGATAAATGAACGTCAATTTTACTACACTTTATAATAAATACAAAAATATAATATAATATATACAAAAATAAAAAAGAATGTTCAGATGTTATACAAAGTGTATTGTAATTGATATTATTTTTAATGCTATTATAAAAGTCACATTATAAATTTATATTTTATTATTGTTTTATTTTCTTAGGTAAAATTTTATGTAAATTTTTGTTGTAATTTGATTTGTAAACAGAAACAAAAGAAGAAAATTTATTTATACTGATGTAGACTAAAAAGAGAGAGATAAATTATACTTAAAGATAATAGAAATTGAAGAATCTGAATATTAAAAGTTCATTGAACTTTAGAAATCTAAATAATGATCTCCTTATAGCTTTGGCAAAGAAGATGGAACTGCGAGAGTCAGCGTGATCAGAGCAACAACAGATTCGCCGATGTCGCCGCCGGCGAGCGTATCGATACCCCTAACCAAACAGTTGCACAAGGGTAATATTGCTGGATCGAAGAGTCTCCTGGATATCTGGTTGCAACGCAGCGCTCCAAAGGAGAGGAAACCGGATTTTCATGGTAGAGTTAGTAGTGATGGTCTTAAAGCGAAGTTGTATCCCAACTTGAAGGAAGTTGGACGAGAACCCAGAGAGGCCATGCTAGAGGGATAACTGACAAAAGAGACGGAATGCACTGCATAGACACGCCACATGTGTGACATTGTAAATATAATTGTATTAGATACATAATATTATTCAACGATATCATTCGTGACTGTACAAAATGTGTTTGATCAGTTAAAAGTGAAAAATTTGACGACAGTAATTAAACATTTTTTACATTAAAAGCAAATGTATATTTCTGGTTTGTTAATTTATTATGTCGACAATCTTGAATTAATAATATATAATTTATCAGATTGTAATTTTTAATTATTTAGAGGAAGAGAAACATTTCATAATTTTTAAACGTTCTACATACAATAATTATAACAGGATTTATTTAAATAATTTATAATGATATATTATAGAACATTTATAAAAATTAAGTAATAAAAATTAAAAATTAAGTAATATGATTCATTGATAAAAATTCATGGATTTAACGAAGGATTTATATTACAAGACAATAAAAAGATTTATTTCTAAAATTTAAAAAATCTTATAGCAAATCTCTATTACAAATAAAAAATTTAGAAATAAAAATTAACAGGCAAAAATCTTAATAGACAAAAAAATAAGAGTTAAAGATATATAACAAGAATTGGAAAGAAAATAAGATTATCAGAAATTGGAAAGATTATAAAAGGCATATACTTGGATATATCTATAATACAAATGCACATACAATAAGCATGAGACATTTCGACTAGAAAATTTAGCTTTTCGGGCCAAGGATAAAAATTCGACCACACGGTTGTCGAAATGATCATCGTCAGTCAACTTCATGTTATGCAAAGACCCACCTGCGTGGGACGAAAGTGTATCAGTGGTACATCATTTCCAGCTCCCTCCTCTTCTTCTATCGTCGACCGCTCTGCACCCCTCCCGCTGTTTTATTAGTCGACACGTCTGCTGAGTGTCTGAGCCGTCTAAGCGATACATCGACCTCTGTCGAATCTATAGTTCGCTTCGGCGTGTGCTCGGCCATGCTAATCGATAAACGTGGAAGGATGCCGAGCCGAGGGAGGAGCAAGGAGAGGAGACGCTCGGTCGTGTTTGTTGCACGTAACCCGATGTGACGCACACACGATCTCTCTCAATTTGAGAAACGTAGACAGAGGAAGATGCACAAACGAAAAAAAACTTGTGTATATCCGGAGATTTGGAAGTTTATAAGTAGTATAATAAATAGTAACTTACGAACAAAGAATTCTTGTAATATTAAGACATCAAAATCTATTGAGAATTAAAAGTTTCAAACAATAGATTTAGGAATCAAAAAAAAATCAGAGAATATATTGAGTAAGTAAAAATTTAAAAATTCTAGATGCTTCTCCTCCGCGAGTTTAAGAATCCAAAGGGTTACCTGCATGTAAAAATTCTTGGGAACATTTTATACTCCTTGCCGATCCATCTCAATTCATCCTCCTCCGAAGAGAAGGTAAAAAAGTATAGTAGAAGGAAAAATTGTGACGATCAAATCGATCAATTTCAAGCGAGGCTATTACTTATGCTGCACCTTGTATAATGCAAGCCGCTAAAAGAGAGATAGACGGGACCGCGGCGAGAGGGCGAGAGGGTTACGAGAGAAGGACGAGGTGGAGGAGGAAGAGGAGGACGAGAAAGAGGAGGAGGGTTGCGGAAGGGGACCAGTGAGTACAAGTGCATGACGTAACGGTTCATTCATCCCGAGACAGGCGATAGAGGATATCCCGGTCAATGGTATACTTATGCATGTAACGCGCGCATACGTGTGTACGTATGACGTACGTAAGTATGAGTATGCAGCATGCACATGTCTGTCGCGCTGTTCATTTTTTTCGGACGTACGCGCCACGTGCATGCGTGCGTGCGGAGATGAAGCAACACGTGGTAGAATGTAGAAGTAGAAGTGCCCGAGTGTCCGGTTTCTTCATGAATACTTTGGCATTTTTCAAATGTGGATTTTTTACGTTCAAAATTGCTGCGAAACACTCGTCTATTATACAGCTTTCTTAGATTTCCCAAACGTTAGAGAGAGAGAGAGAGAGAGAGAGAGAGAGAGAGAGAGAGAGAGAGTCACTTTCAGAGAGTCATTAAATATCTTCCTTTTTTACTGTTATAATATAAATTATATATATTTTGCTATTATATATAATGTGTTAATTTTTGTCATAATGTAATTTGTACTATACAGTATTGCAACTTTTGTTTCTTAGATTTGCGTTATATTAATCTTTCAATTATAATATGGACATACTACACACAAAAAAATATTTTGCTGTTTCAGCTAGAATTATAGCTGTTTTTTGTATCTAATAAAAAATTATGTATCATATACATAGAATTTATAGAACAAATCTAAATTCTATCTCTGTCATCTATATGATTAGATACAATACGTATCCAATATCGCAATATTTGCTAGAAATTTATCTATTTTAACTATTTTTCGTATTTAATAATGTTATATTATAATTTTCGCTATAACTGCAAGATCACTTTTTTGAATGTAAAACAAAATTTATTAAATCTTAATATATATTTGTTTATAAATTAATTAAACATTTGCTTGTAGATAAATATTTATTCAATAAAAAGATAATGAGTTAAATTAAATTAATGATTTTTGTATCAAAAATATATTTGGTAAATATTTAATTAGTACCATTTTCAAACAAATTAAAATATATTTATTAAAATTTAATATATTTTAATAATTCTGCAAAATATAAACTTCAAACATATAGATTATATATATTTTTGCAAAAGACTTAACTCGGTGTGCGTTTTCTCGTAAATAATCTCGTAAAATAATCATTATGCTATTTCATCATCAGAATGATAAGAAATGCACTGATAAGAAATGCGGAAGAGTTGATAAATATGACATAATGTTGCAATAATCAAAAGTAATGATATTTAATGATCACATTATCATATTTGTATAAAAAATTTCTGACAAGTTTTTATCGAAGACACATAAATAAATTCCTATATTCATATATTTAGTAAATGTAGACACTAATTGTCAAAGAAATATTGTTAATCGACATTAAATGCAATTTTGCTGTTTATCGATAAAAATAACTGAATAAACATAAATGTAAGAAAAACGACAGCAGTTAGAACCGTGACGAGATCAGGAATTTTAGCTGCAGCTGTTTATTAAACGACTATGAATCGACGATTGACATATATTGTAATATGAAATGAGCGTGTTATAAAGAATTATTATATGAAACACATACATGATGTTTAATATCAATGAAGTGCGATAATACGCGCTGCCTGTAATTATTTATAGCGTTTTCAATATTCTACTCCATAAATATTAAATGCTGCAGATATATTACCAGAGCAATACCGAATACGTAAATAGACGTATTAATTGTTGCTGATAGCGCAGTACATAGTCTGTTCTGCATCGCGTCATACCGATACGGGAGAGCTCAGCGTTTATATAATTGAAACTCTGGCGTATAGCTGGTACATATCGATCGCGGCCTCCGAGGGTCACTGAACGAAACGAAACGAGGGAACGAAGCGGGCACAGCGCAAGCACAGAGCGACGTCCTTCCGCGCCAATAAATAATTATAAACAGGAATTTTAGCGTAAAAACGTCGACAAACGACTGCGTTAACATCGACTGAATGTCGTTATATAAAAATGAGTTAATCAATCAAACAATGTAGCTTTCAGGTACATTAAGCTTAAAATTACACATTTCATCAAACTACATATTTTTAGTAAAGATATGTGTGCATAATTATCTTTATTTTACGTTTTTCTTTTTTAATTTCATATGTAGATTTATTCTCGTGTGATAACATAATTAATTTTCATTTTGATTAACTCAATTTTACTGTGTCTATAAAGGCGTGTGTAATGATACTATAATTTAGGAAGAAAGAAAACAAATTGTTTAATCCGATGTTAATTAAATGAGATTATTGGACAGGAGCACGTAAGCTCTTTGAATGAAAAATTAATTGATTTGGAAAACGAGGCAATATTGAAAAGAAATATCCGAATTTAATATTAATTTATAACTTTATATAGATGTGTAGTTATTTATTTTACTTTCATATTTTGTTTATCGCCGATATAAAATATACTATATTCCTCGAAATATTAAAGTCTCATCTTGTCTATATACTTCTCTAATATTAAATTTTATTTATTCGAACGCAAAATTATTAATAATGGTTTAATATCTTTCTTGAAGGTTTTTCTTCGTGCATAAATCGTGCATAAATTTGATAGTGCAATGTTATTGATACATTCCTTAAAAATATTGATTTATATATAATATATTTCTTTTCTTTTAGTGAAAAGCTATTACGAGCAGTTGATATATTTTTCAAAACATTAATTTTTACTTATAAATCGAGGTGAGGATATTCGATTAAGTTGGAATTTAAAAATTCGACGAAATCTTTGTACGGTTCACTCGGTATATGCTTCGACAAGACCAGCAGTTCAGGCTTGCATTTTTCAGAGTACTCCATGGAGCCCCATTGAAAGAACGCAGCGGCAGCATAAAACCCGGTTTCCCTTCGTAGGGCTGCCGCCCTTCAAGACTCACGGCCGACCGGCTCTTTGTCGTTTCTTTGACGTCCCTGCAGGATGTACGAAGCACTAAAGCGAAACGCCAGGGGCGTATTGGATGGAGAAATATACAGCGTGTCCCTCCGATTTTTCAAACAGCATCAAATTACGTTAGGATTTTTAAAACTAGCAATATAGAAAAAAATGGGTATAATTAAAAGAGAATATATATGGAAATAAATTACACATTATACATGTAATGTATATAGTGAATAATGAGTGAGATAATTTTGTGTTAAAGTAAAATTTTATAAAAATTGAAAATAATTAGAGTATTATAAATGCCAAGAAAAAATTATTATTCAGTAAAACTAATATTTTTATTCATTTTATTGGAAAATAAAAATTACGTAATATTCCTTTTATTCAAAAAATTTTCCATCTATTTTGTATAGAATTTAAAAGATACATTTATTTAAAGCTTTTAAAATCTTCTATTCGATACGCATTTCCAAGATCTTTAAAAGATTTTCTATTTTTTTTTTTTGTAATACTTTGTCACAAATTTCAGGATCTTTTTTCGTAATAAGAAATACATTGAATACGTCGAAAAAGTTATCA